CGGTCGCCATGACTCTCGGAGCCGGACTGGTCTCTCTTATTAAAGGAACCTCGCATTTGACAGATCCTCTCCTGCCCACAGGCGGCTCCCAGGCGCTCTGCCAAGTGGACGCCGAGGCGCACCTGGACTCCGCCCCACCCTCGCCGCTCATTGGACGTCAAAGGATGATGGACGTGGTTACCAGGGGCAACGGCGCTGCGATTGGCTGCGGGGAAGTCTCAACAAACACTACTCTCTTTGTTGGAGAGGTGCGAGTTGAGGGTCTCGTGGAAGCGGAGAGCCGGAGTGCAGCATGGGGAGACGGAGCAGCGGGATCAGCAGTGCAACTGTAAGATACAGTTGATTTACTTTGATAATCATGTTCTATCAAGACTCAGGCTGTAGGTAGCCTAGATCCAGGAGGACAGAATTCCCTCTATTGGGAACAGTAGGCCTAATACTGAAGCTCTGTTATGTAGGATATAATTGTTTATTGAGGTAGACTTTACATCTAGTTGTTAATTAACAACTGTAATTCTGTGCACATTTATAATAATATTATAAATTAAATGTTGTTATGGAAACGCGTATGTAACATCCTAATTTGATAAGGCGATGTAAACGTTTTGATTGCAGCAAAGATAGTTAGATTTAAAAAGAAATGCATATTTATTTAATCTGCACATTCATATATAGACCAGGCCTCTTTGAAAGGAAAACGCAGTTTCATGTTTTTAGGAGTTGCTGCAGTGTTGTAGGTGTATGCATATTAATAGCCTATATCTGTGTTATTTGTGCACCATTGCGTGTGTATGAAAGACTATACTCATGTAGTATTTTTCTCAAAGTACTAAGTATCTTCTATCATCAATCAACTATTAGTTTTCAGTTAGGATAACATCAATTAAACATTGAACATCATGTAACTACATATGAAACAAACTAAATATAAAACAAAACATGCATGCTGACATAATGGCATTGAACGGATTTATGTATACTGTGAAGTTCACTGTGCCCAGTATGAGATGTAAAGCATGGTGAGGTTAAGGAAAAATACACTAGTTTGTTTTCTAAATTTGGTAAAGGAAAAGGCACATTTCAATCAAATCGATTTTTATTAGAAAAAATAATCTTGTTATCAAACTCAAATTAAATTGCAAGTAAAATGGACAGTGTTGACATGGTCTACGTCCAAAGTCCATCATGGTTCTGCTACCTAAAGTTTTTTAAACCATTGCTTCTAATAGTGATCAATGACATAATTCTGCAACCTTACCTACATTCATCAGTGTGTGTAAAAGTGTAGGTTAGTACATTTTTATCAGTGAAGACTTGGAAATAGGAATCTTTTACATGTCTTGACATGAAAACTTTTAACTGCCCCTCAAGTAAACAAATCCACTTTTGTGTCCTAGTAGGGTGTAAAGTGAATTAACAAGCCTTCCTCAGGAGGAGTGGCTTCGCACAGAAAAAGGAGGGTCCCTGGTCTGAAGCTGAAGTTATATATATATATATCTGAAATTACTTTTTAAACAGTGAAATTGGTTCAGAAAATGTTCCTTTAATAAATGTAGTTTGGAGCGTTTCATGGGTTCCTAAATGGTTGTTTGGAGCACAGTAAAAGATCTATGTGATCATTAGAGCATGGTGCAACAGTATTGAGAGCCTTTATGGATTCTTTACATTGCCAAAAGAGATTTAGAAATTATTTTCAGCTCTTATTTACAACTCTTTTAGAGTTAACAGTGTGTGAAAAGCTTCTCTGGCTGCTCATCCCAGTAAAGTGAGGATAGACACAAGTGAAGAGGAGGATTAAGTCCAGACTCAGGCCTCCAGTCCAGGGCAAGGAGGGCAGGTTTCTATCCTGTCCCAGCTGTCGTCCCCCCAGTGTCAGCTTCAGGGACCAGGACTTTGTCCAGAGAGGGGACATTCCTGGCCGACCGCTACTGGTTGCCATAGGGAGAGGTAAATGAAACAACAGCAGACGCGTCGATGCTGCTGCTGCTCCCCCCTCCTCCCCTGTTCCTGGACTATCTAAAGGCCTCTTTTTAAAGAGGTTCTCTGCTGCGGGGACAAAGCCTTCACAGGGATAAAGGAGGGAGGAGTAAAGAGCACAGGGTCCTGAGAGGGAGAAAGGGCTAGAAAAACTGAAAAAGATGAGAGATTATGTCTGTCCTCAAAGCTGCTCCTCACACTGCAGTGACATAAAGCAAATTATGTGGGGGGAAAAATGTAAAACGTTTTGCTTGGCAGAAGTATGTTTCAACTTGATAACTTCTGAACTAGTCCCTTAATTCGGAATATTGGAAGGCATTAATAATTCCTACTGTATATATGCAATTAAAAAGCACTTTTGGTTGGTCTATGGTTATAACAATTCAATCCACCAGAAATAAAGTAAAACATACAGGCCACAAATTAAACCTATAAATCAGTGGAGACAGTTCTATTCACAATTTATAACTTCTAAACTATGCAAATGACTGAAATTGTAATTAAACATTTTATTTAATAACATGGACCTAGCAGTAAAATTAAAAGGCAATAAAAAAAGCAATTATCAAAGAAATATTTTCACAAAAAATATTCAAACTGTGCAGTGAAAACAGAAAAGTCCACAAACTGAGTATGCACACTCACAAATCATTCTTAGCAATGTTAATTTATTCAAAGAGTTCACACAAGGACACGTGTCATGTGTTTAGACTGAGATCTGTGAACAATACAGGGACGTGTAACAAAGGACAAGTGTTAATTACAAAATGTTCTTGATTCCCTGCTTTATACGACCTGGATTGTATTTTGATCTCATACACTGGTTTAAGTTAACTTTTCTTTTGTCTTGATGCTGCTTTAGTTGCCAAAGTAGACATTCTTAATCTCTGATGTTAGTAACGCAGATGAATAAAATATAAAATGTAATCCTCTTAAAATAAACACATAAAATGATACCATAGTTCATTGCATGCTTCTTTTAAAAGGCACTGTATGCAACCAAAATGTACCACAATTCAAAATACAATACTGGAATTTGCTATTAAGTGTAATTAACAGACAAGGACAACGGTAATTGTAAGTCTGTAATGTTTTCTAATGTTATTGGTCTGTTGCTGCTAATTTAAACAGTGATATAAACCAGGCCTACTTTGATCAGTTGAGAAACACAAAATGCTCATATTCCATGTATAACTCAAGCTCTTCAATTAAGTATTACTGATTGGGCCTTTAATGTATCTCATTTCATAGGCTAATAATCCTTTATGGATGGGATTCCAGCTGCACTGATAGCACATGAAGCCGCCAGGATTTAAGTCATACAAGGAAAAGTTTCCAGGCACGGCTCGGTAATTCATTCTGGTAATATTGAACATTATTGTGGCGTAACATTGAAATCGACCAAATCAAAAGAACATTGTGGTAATTAGGCTGTAATTCAAGGAATTACCACATCGCCACACAGGCTTAAATAGTCGTGTTGGGAGAAACGCAAAGCACATTATTTTAATGGTGTAATATGCAAACTATGGCTCGTTTCAATTACAAGGCTTAACAATGCATAAATGATGCGAGCCTTGTTATTTGGACTGCAGGGTCCTCAGTTATTCAATCACTCAGAGGGGCCAATGTTAGGGGCCATGCTGCCTCCTCTCATACAGTAAAAACACAGTGCGTGAGCACAGAGCGCCGCTGCCAAACTACATTTAAGGGAATAAAAATGAACAGCAGAGAATGTAAGCGTTAAATTAACAGTAGGATAATTATATGACCCGTGTGCTGTAAAGATTCAATTTCTAACGCTCTAATTAGGCGACTGTCTCCCCATACATCAGCTCACATCCCTCTGCCAATTTCTCACCAGAAAGCGTCCTGTGAGCGGAAATAATTAGATTTTATTAAGACACGGCTCGTGTAAGAAAATCAGAGGAGGGGCTGGTTAAATATGTTTTTAAAATCACTGATTGTTACACACACACACAGTCCACTTGGACAGTAGAGTCCAAACTGGAGGGAAAGATTCTGGGATATGTCCAACTATATTAAACCATATAATGAACTGTCTAGGAGGATGATACTGTAACTTATGGTCTCATCCCTTCGGACAGAAATATAGTCCATGTCTAATAACGTGGAACAATGCCATACAAAAATCACAGCAAAATGACTGTTAGGCTGCAAATAATGATTATTTTCAACATCTAATGAGTGAAAATTGACAGTCACAATTTCTCAGAACCCAAAGGACATATTTGAAGTCCCCCTACAGTCAAAAATGTGTTTCACTTATTCCTACTTTATCTGGATGTTGGTGCAGAATGATGCACGACTTGAGAAGGCTGTTTCTGCTGAAGGGGGGGAGTTTCTATGAGCTCACCGTGAATCTCAGTTTGACAAGTGTATGCTCATGATGATTTGCGTGACAACTAGTTTGGATCCAATTGTGGTCCAAAATACAACTTTACACAAGAGTAACGTGGAATCCTGAACCTTCCAATGCACATATGCTGACAACTGACTTTCAGTGAAGTAGGAGACACCTTGTGTCCAGTACTTTTTAAATAAAATATTTAATAATAATAATATTTAATAATATTTGCATAGTCATCGATTTAATGATTGAGAGTTGATGTCATTTTAAGATATTTAAACAAGGTAATTGAATGTTTTTCTTTGTGGAAAAACCACACGGGACACGTTATTATTCCAAGCACAGTTTTTTATGCCTTTAAACATGTCTGGAGGGTATCTTTAAATTGCTTGTTTTGTCCAACAAACAATCTGAAATCCAAAGATATTCATTTTATTATAGAATAAGAAACCAGAAAAAATCTGATATTTATGACCCTTTTTACCTAACAAATGACCTAAACAATTAATCAGTTATTAATATTATGATTAGGTATATTCCTCCATTGAATACTGTTATTTTATCTGGACTATTAATATAAGGAGACATAATCCAGTGAGAGACAATAAGATGTTTAACAGCTTCATATTTGGAGCCACAAAGACACAAAAAAGTTGGAGCATTATTGGTTTATTACAGTCTCATCTTTAGGGAACAATCATGACAAAATGGAAATGTCTTTGCTTTGCATCTACCACATGCCACAACACTGACTTATTTAGCTAATATAAGACCAGATACAAAGTCAAAAATCAGAAGAACTGAACCAATCTCCTTTAATTTATAAGACTGTATATAAGCCCTGCGTTATAACTATGTAACTTATTACACTGTGGAATATATACAGTAAAAGCCAAAACATTCAATACTTTTTAATCAAGCCCAGATCAATTGTTGCAAAACTAATAACAGGGATGTCATGTTGTGGAGGTTTTATTTCAGATTAGCTGTTCAGATATCAATAATTCTCGCTAGGGCTCGTTGCAAGTCTTACATAACGAGAGCCGACCCACGACTTTCATGCTTACCGTAATTGTTGTGTGAATCAAAGAGAGGGAGATTGACAGGCTGTATGGGAGGATTAATACAGTGGGTGAGTGACTACATACTGGGCTGGGGAGGGAGGGAGGGAGGCAGGCAGGCAGGCAGGGAGGGAGGGAGGGAGGGAACAAGAGAGGCAGAGGAGAGAGAGTAAGATATGGGGTGAGAAGGAGGAGAAAGAGAGAAAAGTGGGAGAGGACAAAAAGTGGGGAGAGAGTTAACGAGAGGGAGAGCATTAATTGTGTGCATTGTGCCGGGGCTCTTTTGCTGAGTGTGGCTGTCGAGGTGCGGGCGCTAACCCCTCCAGCAGCCCGCCGTGATCTGAGCCAGCTCTCAGGCTGCTGTATTCCAATGCAATTAGGCCACTCAAAGGCCTGCTTAAAGCTGCACCCCCACACCACACACACACACACACACACACACACACACACACACACACACACACACACACACACACACACTCAGATAGCAACAGCCCCTGTGGGTCCCCTCCATTGTAGCGGGGAGGTGCATTCTGTCCCTCTTTGAGGCCCTGGATGAAGAGACCACCCTGGGGAGCAGAAAAAAGGGAGGATTACCTCTCTTTCTGTCCCTTTCCCTCTGTCTCTTTATCTTTGTCTCTTTTTCTGGTTTAGGAGTTCACCTCTAAATCAGCTCAGGCAGGCACAGAGCTGAGCTTTGGTTAGCTCTTCCAAAGAGACACAACTTGGGAGTTATTTTTTTTGCAGGAGGAAAGAGACGAAAAAGAGCACTGAGGCACTTCTGTGATGGACGTCATTGCGGGACTGCTTTAGCAATATCACTTTCCTCTCCCTCTTTCATTATTCATACAGTCATATATTTCAACAAGTGGTGCGGGGCGTGTAGCTCACTAGTTCGTCCCCATTGGCATCGGCGCCGCAGCCTCAGTCTGTCAGTCCCCTCTGTGTGCCATATTAAGAGAAAGCTCTTCACGATAGCAGAGTTCTCTTGGCTGGGTTTCAGCATGTCTCATTCCCCAGAAAGCATTTAAAGCAGATTACCAACCTAACGCTACACCTCCCGAATAAGAGAGGAGGGAAGAAAAAACTGGCACATTAACACCTGCAATACTACTCAATGGCATCAACAGATTAACGAGGTAATCCACACAATGAGGTCTTTGATTCGTGTGGTTTGGCTGGCAATAACGACAGGCATTATGCACACTGTTATTTCAGAACGTCCCAGCACGAGGAAACCTGGCAGAAGCCGTTCCCTTTTTTTGTCTTTCCGTCAGATAAGCTTTTGAAGAATTTTAACTTGTGCATCTGGTGCGTTTGCCTGTTTCCTTGTCAGAGCAATAACCTGCTGGCTGCTCCTGTGGCACATGTGAAGGGAGAAGGGGAGGAATCGCAGGCTTTCTGAAGGCTGTTTAAACAGCAGGGCTGAGGAGCTCTCCCTCGTCTTTCCCCCCATTTTTCTGCATAAGGACGTGCGTATTGGATAAGTGTGTGTGTGTGTGTGTTTGTGTGTGTGATAGATCTCGCGGTCCCATCGCTCATGTGCAGCTCGATTAGCCCCACGTGCCTCGTTCGTCAGACGTGGAGGCAGAGCAGATGGCAGGAGACGCACCGTGTTACCATGCTGCGGCACTATGTAACGCTGCTCTAATTGAAACATCAATACTGCCCTGTCAATACACTAGTGCTACTTTACAAAACACCACTACCTACAGACCTGCACTTGACTGGGAAAAAGCTGCCATTGCATCTTTCTTTCATATTCAGATGCACTGGCAAAAAGTTTCTGGCTGATTCCAAAATAGCAACAAAGGAACTTTTTCCAACACTTTCTGTGACGGTTTCTGGTGTTTTTAATATCCTAATTTCAATTAAACACTTGAGTTGATCTCTGTTTGTATACAGTGTTGTGGTAGTAAAGGAAGCATGCAGAAATAAGAGAGAATTTCCTCTGTAGCATCTCCGCTGTGGCACATTTTTAATGAATTGATAAAAAGTTGAGGGAGTTCACATGGCTGTGATCAGTAATTCGACGTTATCGGAAATTCAGCGGAGAACAGTGAGAAATTAGGCGGCTAGAAATTAATTTGCTATTTGTCCAACTCAATGAGGAGTGACACAGCCCCTTTAATGAATGGGTAATCCATTTCTTATTGCACTGAGCTGAGTTCACCCTTCAATGAAGTGGAAAAAGACAAACATATCTTTCACTAACCTTTGCAACTTCCGAAAGCAAACAAGAAGGGGAGATGAGTGCAGAGACCTGCTCCTGAAACTATTTGTTTTTGGGGAAGGATTTATGTGTTTGTGTGTGTTTGTGTGTGTTTGTGTGGCGTGGAGAGTGATTGAGTTTTAAAGCCAAGCTAGGAATCCCAATAAATAATCTGTGCCAACACCGAGGCCACACAGTCCAAGTACTGTACATGGAATTGATTTACGATCAATCGGCTTGCTGCACTGTGGAAAACAACAGTGTTTAATTAACCATGCCTCATATGTGTTTCTTCAGTTCCCTGCCCGCTGTCCCGTCCCTCCTTCTGGATCTGAAGAGTCTGACTGTTGCACCTCCTTTACATCCATGACCACATCCCGGAGAATCTGTGATGGTAAGGACCTGGTCTCTCTGTCCACATTATCGCCGATGGTCTTTGTCTTATGAAGCTCCCCCACAGCAGAAGGTTTTGGCCCCGTGGAGGACTTTTGTACAACATCTGTCTGCTGTAACTGTTGGATGTAGTATTGATATGAGTATAGGGCACGAGAAAAGGTACACAGAAACTAAATGTAGATAGGATATATATGCAAACAATAAAAAGCAACTAGGGTTGCAACTATTACTTTCAAGATCAGCTAATCTGCTGATTATTTTCTCAACTAATTGATTCATCGTTGCATCAACAAATGAATGAAAAATGCCTGCCATAATTTCCTAAAGTCCAACATGATGTCCAAAAACCTAAAGATACTCATTTAGCTCTCATCTAAGACAAACTGTGTCAAATCATTTTGTTTTCCTTTCATCTCTTCCAAATTGTAACCTTCTATGTCAACTTTTTCATCATGCAAAGAATTCCTTAAACAGTCATTGAATTCCTTAAAATACAAAGAGATAGTACAGAAACATTCAGTAAGTGTATTTCCATCAAAATGAAAAAAAAGAAAACCCTGAGTGCAAAGGAAGTAAATTTGAAAATAAGGTGAAATATTGCAAAACATTTTTACACTTGGCTGAGGTGGAGAAGTTGGTGTGTCGAAGTGAAATTGAATAAATCATGACGCATGTGAAGCTTGTGACTTAAACTTTTTCAGTCTGTTTCACTGAAGAGACAGAAAAAACAGGACATGAAGCAAACATAAATGCCATACTTCCATCATCTTTTCTACATTGGTCACCACAGTTCGCCATCTGCCGCTCTTTTAATTTTATGTCATCTCCTTGTGACCTCTTCTTCTGCAACGTTTTAACGGCACCGGACTGGAGAATAAACGGCACTAACTGTTTATCTCAATAAACCAACTCCTAATATTTACAGTAACAGTTTGCTTCTAATTTGCATTTACTTTTACTGATTTACTGATGCAAACTTGACTACATTATGTAGAGTGGTGCTGCAGCTTACCTGAAAAACCATACTGGGTGTCTGGAGCTTGCTGAGGGTCTGGTTATCCAACACTAAGTTTCCAGGAATCTTCAACATCTGAGTGATGGAGCAGATATTTAATGTTAATAAAAGGTATAAGACAGTATAGAACCATGGATCTCATCCTGTATCAGTGGATGAAACCCAGGAAGACAAAATTGGATTTCAGGAGTCGTTCAGAAGCAGTAATTGAATTAAAAGTCTACTGCAGTCAACTTGCGTCAAGTTGGAGGACTCTCACCAGACAGATTTAAAAAGAATACTCAAAATCAAATCAGCAGAGTCCCAGATATGACTTTTAGTCCTTAGTTAGGGACAAGCTCGAGAAACGCTAGGTACTGGATTTCCCATGATGCACCTAATATAATCTTTTTATTCAGACCTCTTTTAGTTAAAAACCTGGGCCTTTCGTACTCCACGCCACCAATTTGTAAGGTATCCTTTCTGTTAAAAATTGGACATCTCCATCCCCCAAACCTTATGACATCACAAGGGGTTGTTTTTCAGAGTGACAGAAGTGATTATTCAACTTTTTTTAATAGGCCAGTAGTACTCCCTATGACTAGAAAAAACACACGTTTATGTATATAATCTGTAAAGTGGCCCTAGTTTTAATATGCCATGATATATTTATAGTTGTTGTGCTAAATAATTTGCTCTTGTCAAGACTCCTTGAGGTCCTCCGTCTGTTGCACTTTGCACCAGCACCACTTGCAGCAGGGATCGTGACTCCTTTGACATTCTTTCCCCCCTCCTTATGGATGTCATGAGTGGAAAAAAAAACGAGGAAACACCAGAGGAAATCTGATTCAACTATGTTTTCTCAAGGAAAAAGACAAGGACAAACAGCTGAATTTGAAATCAATCAAATACTGGCTCTGTCCACAGGAGCGACATTCAGACTCTGGTTACGATTTGATCTTGGCTCAAGTTTTCAGTGAGTGTTGACATCTCAGAGTTGTGAGGAATCCCGACCCGGCAGCTACAGCGGGGGTTTCAGTGATACAGTATTTACAAGGCATGAGGAAGTGGGAGCGCTGCAACAGACGGCACCGTACTCGGCGCTTTCAATTATTTCTCACAGCATTCATGAAAATAGAAACACAGCGGGGAGTACAGTATGAACAGCAAAACTATAAAAAGACATGGAGCGAAAAGAGAACTTCCAAGCTAAAATAAATGGCGTCATATGCCGCTGCTGGTTAAGGGCTGAGAATAGTATATGTCTCAGAAATAGGAGAAATGCAAATTGTGTGGTGGAGTGTAGACATGGTGAGCAGTGATGGAGCAAAAACATGAGCATAAATAATTGGCGTTAGGGTTGAAGTTTTAATTTGATAGCATCTTCAAAATCGGTTTCGAGACCAAAGTTGGTCTATTAAACTTCATGCTAGAACCAACAGGCCTGGAGCCCTGTTTGTACACGTCATGTACAGATATCCTGCACTTGTTTGATTTAAGAGTTTTAATGTCCTAGTCTGAATGAGTTTGGAGTTTAAATGTGTTTCCAAAATCAACTTAAAGGTCCGCTGTATAGGATTTAGTGGCATCTAGAGGTGAGACTCCAGATTGCATCCAACTGATAACCCTCCCCCTCCAAGCATGTAGGAGACCCTACAGTGGTGGCAAAGCTCGTGAAAAACAACTAGACACATCTAGAGCCAGTGTGTGGTTTGTCCGTTCTGGGCTACGGTAGAAACTCCTTGGAAGAGGAACCTCTGTAGATATAAAGAGATCCCCCTAAATGTTACACACTGGACCTTGATATAAACAGGACAGAGACTCTACAGTCATAGTGGCTCTGTGACGCTGTATTTAGGCACACTGGTACTTTGAGCTAAATGCTAACATCAGCATGCTAACATGGTCACAATGACCATGCTTACATGCTGATGTTAAGGAGGTAAAACATTTTTACGTGGTCACCATTTTGGTTTCACACGTTTCATGATAATCACAAAGCATAGCTGAGGCTAATGGGAATGTCACTAGTTTTGTTGTTGTTTTTGGTTATAAATTAAAGTCTTGGACAAATTGTATTTTTAACATAATGATGATGCTAGATGGAGAGAGAATGGATCACCAAAGATTACAATTCATCCTGAGTAGCTCAGAATTACTGTTAAAGTGATTTATGGCACTACCTGCCTCGCAGACTATTTTTTCATCAAAATGTCATGCAAATTGCACAGGTGTTAGAAATATTGCTAAAAACATAAAGCTATTTAGGTCTGTTTCTACATTAATTGGGCATAAGTAAGAAAATAAATAAATAAAAATGTAAAAATCAAAAAATAGAAACAAGAAACTGGTGTTTTAATTTAACGTTTAATGACGTGAAATCCTTTGAATCTGTTGAGGATGGCACTAGAGGAAAAACTCAGGGTATCACTAAAGTCCAAAACACCACTAAGGACTACTTAATTTGTTTGTTTTTCCTGCTAATTTTCAACAAAAGGGCTTCAAGCTCTGAAATGTTAAGTTATTCTTTTTTCGTTACAGGCAGCCTTATACAGCAATTTGGGGGTGTGGATTATAATGATCAGATCTCACGAACATGCACCTCTTCGTGGGCAGCTGGCAACTCTGTGCAATTTGGTGGATCCGACTTGGAACACTAGTAAGTAAGCCTTACAGACAAAGTAAGAGAACTTTAGGATAAGAATTTTAAGGTAAAACATAAGTCTGGGCCTTGTTTTTGTTGTTTTGGCCATCTTGTTTTTTTTGTAATGATAACAATCTGATTGATTGTCCAATCGCTCGTTTTCACTGATGCCACCGTGTTCCCAGATCTCAGTAATTAACTTATTAAGAACAGTCTTTTTTATTATCCCATAGAAATGATGACCCAAACTAAAAGGCTCAAGTGGCAATAAAGTAGAAATATCCTTTAGAAAAAAAGCTTCATATTGATATATTTAACATATTTTGCACTGGAATGCACACACACCTACAATATATCCTGTCTGCCCTCAAAGTCCTCAACAGAAACAGATGACAACCAGCTTTTCCTGGAGCTGATCTCTCCCTTCTGCCTGAGATGAGAAGCTGTTAGTAAGGGGGGGGGGGCTCACAGACAGAGATGTTTGTTTCCCAGCCTTTCCACCATCTCTGTGGGACGACCCTCCCTATCCACCCCCCCTTCCATCCAAACCCTTCCACCCCCCCAACCTAGTGGATCAAACAAAGGACATCATTTGTAGGCCAAGTCTTTTTCTGAGCGTCTCTCTCCTAGGCTCTGCATACCAATCCAATACAGCCCAAGGAAAAAAAGCCACACCGTGGTACATGTCTGTGTGTATGTGTCTGGGCCGGGGGTTGCAAGGTCTGTTTGCCTCTCCGCCAAGCATCGATTTATCCTTTTCTCCAATTTATTTCTCCTCCTTGCCTCTACGATCCATTCAGATCTGCCTCTAGGGGAGGAACTCGGGGTAAAGACGTTGTCAGGCCACAACGTTGCCTCCTAACACCGGCTCAAAACTCATCTACAGGCCCGGGGACTGTGTACCTCTGCAAGGACACATTGGGCGGCTACATGCACACAAACAGAGCTACCTGTCGTCCGGCGGCACACTTTTGTCAGAGCTGTAATTGGCCTCATAATGCAGCGTAAAGGACACGGCTAGAAGGCTTCGATGTTTGTGAGAGGATAATAGCGGTATTAGTCTGAAAGAGAATTGTATTTGTTTCAGTTCAAACACTGCGCTGAAAGATGATTCAGTAGACCACAAAATGTCCTCTAATTTCAAAGGGGAGTTATACCCTGCTCTTATTTCTGCAGCAACAATTGTGGGAGAAGCCAGAATGATATTTAATTGTTCCACATAATCAGGCCTAGACTGAGTGTATGAGCAGATATGATCAGAATAACAATATCTCAAGTCCTGATTCAACTGTCTCTGTCTGTGTGATTCTGACATTTTCAGATGTTATTACTCAGACTCAAGGATTTGTATCCTAAAGCCTCGGCCGTGACGACAGCGTTGAACAGAAAAGCTGCATGTGCACAAATCCCACTGTCGTAACCCCGCACACACAGACACACAAACACACACACACACAAAGACAAGACACTCACACACGTATGGCAAAGATCTGTGAGCCATTCTTCAGTGTCACAGTGAGCGACGCCTGGCACATCCTTACACCTGAAGTTGATCAATGCAGATATGTCCAGGGGGAAATTGAAATCCATAGGAAATTAGGCAGCGCCAGTGATTTATTGGAATAGTAAATCATAGTGTGTGTGATGTGTGAAATGTGTGTTCCCGCTCTGTGTACAGTACTGTACCTTGTGTCTGGCTGGGACGGTGATATCTGCAGCCCGTACCCTCCTGTCTCTCTCCATTTTGTAGACCCATTGAATCAGGTCCAGAGGGGGGTAACGGTCCCTCTGGTACACCGCCCTGTGAGGGACGGGGTGACGCGACCCCATGGACACAATACTCTGCAGGGGTCCCTCTGAAGTAATAAAAAAAAGAAAGCATAGAACTACTGTTAAAGTGGTGCCCGGTACCGTCTGTCTCGGTAGCTACGTTTCCATCCAGATGTCAAGTCAAGTTTGCAGAAATGTTTGAAATATTGCCAAAGACAATATGAAAATTGGGTCTCTAAATACCTTTACTGGGCTAAAGTAAAAAAAAAAGATGAAAATAAAAGAACAGTAAACCGAAACTGGTCTTTCAGGGTCACTTTTGCTGACTTAAAATCCTTGAATCTGTTGCAGATTTTTACTATTTTATACAGTGCTTACAATAAAAAAATCAAATCCTGTTTTTGAGACCCTATTATGATGGGTATTTCTTCAGCATCAGCCATTCAGTGTATTTAAATTCTGTAATTTCCTCTCTATATGGTAGCTTTCATTATTGGTGAGGAAGTCTGCCATTCCTGCACAAGATTCAAATAGCCTAACTACGCATGAGGCATTCACAGGAAAATAAAATGTAAACTGCCGTATCAGAGCTGTAATAAGGTATGGTAAGTACTGCTGCTTCTTCACATTAAAGTATCCAACTGGCGAAGAACAGGGTGGCTTTTATTATAAAGCAGTCATAATAAATTGTTTGAAGAGCTTGAAGAAGTGAACTTGTTAGTTTTATGACAAACTAACTGTGGCCATTCAATCATGATGGCAGGTTAAATACTTACTACTTAAAAGGTTGTGGTGAACCAGCATTTAAGTGAAAATCCTGCCACTTTACAGGCAAATCATACCAAGTTTACATCTTTAAAGGTAAAATGTGCAAGATACGTGCTGTCGCTGCCTCTCTGATGCCTGACCTCCCTCTTTCTCGTCTCCTGTTTGACGCCTCTCCTGTCCCCGCCTGAACCCACTGTGTCTTTGTTGTCCTTAGTGTCAGAGTCCTGGTTGGCGCCACTGTAAATCACTGTATTCCCTGTTATCAAACAGGCCTCCGTCGGTCTCAGAGGCTGTGCTTTGGTTCCTGGTCCAGCCGTGTCCACTGGGAGGCTGCAGAGCCCGGTTCCGTTGCCCGCTTGTTTCCGTCAGTTAATAGGACAGCTAAGTTAGCTCTATGGCTAACTGAGCTAACTAAGCTAATAGCAGTTTGCACGGTTATGACCTGATATGTGAAAAGCTGCCCCCTATTTTTTGGAGTATGAATTTGACAGGTGGAGAGTAGTCTCAATTCTTACACAGTGTATCTTCAGAAAATGAGTTTCCAATTCATTTCATAGTGTCTTCAGCAAAATGTAACGAATAAAGACACATTCTGTGTGATAAATCACTTCACCTTTCTAATTTGTTACATTTTGATTCAAAAATTCTTGAAACTTTAAATGCTATTCCCTCTTTCTGTTCACAAGCTTTAGAATGTGATACTGTGGGTGTAAAACACAAAACAAAGAAAGAAGAACAACTAACCTTATGTTTTACACTCACTATAAATCAAAGATTGAATCCTAAACCAGCTCCTACAAGAACAGCAACACCAAAATCTCCACACTTTAGAGGGTTTTCCTGAACTCTCTGTGCTTGTGAGGGAATCTGATCCTTTTAAGAATGAAATTATAAGACAGGCACACTTACAGTACGTTAGGAAAATCTAAAATATATATCCGACATATAGTGCTTGTGTGAGTCTCTTAGAGGGGATTGCATTCATGCGTGAATGTTCATATAATTCCAGGAGACTTTTCTCAAAAATAAAACAGAGATAGTGTGTAGTGTGAACCCCGACTGAAGAATCACCACCCCACACAAACACTCCCACACCCCTTCCCTTGCTGTTTTTTTTCTTTTTCCAGGTACACCGCTTGTGTTCTAGCTTGTTTTTGTCCCACTTTAATTGCTTTTTTTTTTTTTGCAGAGAGGAAGAAAAGACAACAAGGCGGTGAGGGCTGCAGCTAATGGAGAGGCTGTAATTGTGAATGGAGGCATTCATCTGGAGACGTCGTCCGTGAACTGCGGCGCACAATACGCTGCGCCGGGCTGCTCAGATCACCAAGCAGTCACCAAACACACAGAGAGACACACACATATAGACGCACACACTGAGCCCCTTAGATCACTGATGCTCAGAGGAGGAACGTAATCACACCTCCGCAGAGAGCAAGGCACCGACGAAGGGAGGAGAGAGGAAGGAGAGGAGCTTTGGGGGTGGAGAGGGAGAGCAAGAAGAGAGGAGAAATTATACAAGGAGAGAGGAGGAGAGGGGGGAGGAGAAGACGGGATGGTGAAATTGATGTTTCCTACCATTTGATTTGGGCCATAGAGCCCAGGAGGCAGATCAGATAGCGCCCCATGCACGCAGACACACTCCCTCATATCACACACAGATACAGTACATGCAAGTAAACACAAATGCATGCACACACATACACCCATATACAGACTCACAGGCATGTAAGAAAACACACATGGGTTCAAGCATATCCAATTTTTTTCATCATGCAAACACATACATTGACAAATACTGTACTTGCAAGTAAGCCTGCATACACACATGCACACACACACACAGATAGACATACAATTAAAACTATACATCCTTGTAAACATGATGTATATTAGTTAAGAACCATTTCACATAAACCTCACGCTTCCCTCTACTAGTTGAAACCCACACACATCCTTCAGCCAAACAAACACCATTAAGCCAAAACACACAGAAATGGGGCTAAAAAAGACACAACAAAGCCTACGTGTATACAGAATAAACCTCTCATCTCTGTGAGGCGAGACGAGGCACCTGTCAGCGCGGCAGCTCCTGCTACTACAGAGAAACATCGGGAAACAACAACTCAATTAAACACACCATCCCTGTTCAATTACTGCCACATAATCACAGCAATTTACCTTCTCTTGCCGCACAGCCACCAAACAAACACATACGGGGGCAGTACAGAGGCGGACAAACACGCACAAACACACACGGGCGAAGCTGGATCACAAAAGACATCACGGCTGGAGCTGTAGCTTCATCCTACACATCATGGGTAAAGCTCACCGTGTGGTGTCCGCTAGCTAACTGGCACCAAAAAGAGATGGAGGATGTTTAAATTATAATAAAAAACAATTACATTTGCAAACGCTACAGTATAAATGACATAATAAGTAACACAGCTTCTGTCCTTTTAAATGCAGTTGGCTATACCTTAGCGTGAGTACATTTACGTAAGTGTTATAAAATGTCTAAAACTGTGTGAGAATTGAAAATCATTTCTGCAAGCAGGTCAACTGTGATGTAAATTAAAGGAATGCATCAGGGTTTGACGCAATTCTGCACATTCTGGATAAATAATGAGATCCCAGACATCATCGTTAAGTTATAAAGCATTATATGACAGCTGGGTGTACCTAATAAACTGCCTTTTTTACTCGATTGAAGATGCAGATACAGAGATGCGGAGGCTTAAACAAAGGACACGAGGGGTCACAGAAAATCAGTATACATTATTTACTTAGTAATTTCTACTCCCACTGGGATGTGTGTGTGTGTGTTTGGACTATGGAAATCACAAAGTTGACTGTGGACTGGACAGAAATCATTAAATCCCCTCAGTCGCAACCAGAGATATTTGAGTATTTAAAGTGTCTGGACAGGGACTTTCTCAGATACCCTGGGGAAAGTTCAGACATTCAGAGGCTCCATACTAACATTCTGGACACACACTTTGTTCGTGTTAACAGGCCAATAGCATCACAACATGTAGCAGATCTAAAGCTAAATGATAAGTAATTTATTTCAGTAGTTTGGGTCTGGAGCTATTGGGTATGTTTCAACATGACAATACTCTCATGCACAAAGTCAGGTCCATATGCTTTCTCAGTTTGGTGTGGACGAACTTGACAGACTTGCACAGAGCCCTGACCTCAACCGAATCCAACATGTATGGGGGCGTATTAGAATTATTATTTGGGAGCAAATTTGAAAATCTGGTGGAAAGTCTATGAAGAAGAGCCCACAGTTTTAGAATTACGTGTTGAATTAACTATTACATACGGGTATAATGTACAGGTGACATACTGTGCATACTTACACATACTTATATTTCTACTTTGTTCAGGTGTCCGTATACTTTTGTGTGGGTACTGTTTGTGGCTACATCTGCAGATTGGGCAAATCTACATGAAATATGAAGTGGATTTCAAACAAGATCTAAAAAATAACATTATATTTACATTTGCTTATTTAGCTGACGCTTATGTGCCACTTACAATTGCTATATATGTCAGAGGTCGGACGCCTCTGGAGCACCTGGGGCTAAGTGTCTTGCTCAGGGACACATTGGTGGATGTGTCGCTGTGGGAACTGAACCCCTGGTCTCCCACTGTCCCATCGCCACCAACACAATGTTTAATCTCATAATAGGAGAAGACAAATGAACGCACATTCATTGTATTGCCAAGAGGTAGATTAGAAGATTGACCACTCTCATATTCATATGTTAATATGAAGCTAAAGTTGAGCAACGGTTAGTTTAGCTTGGCACAACAGCTGGCGTATGTCTGTCTAAAAGTAAAAAAGCCAGCCTCCCAGCACTTCTAAAGCTCTTTAATTAATACATCTTATCTTCTTTATTTAATCACCTGCTCTAATTTTTGCTAAGCTAATCACCCTTTGACTTTAGCTACATATTTAGTTTACAGACATGACTGACATCAATGTCCTCAAGTAAAAAAGCAAATAAGCGTATTTCCCAAAATTTCAAACTTCTTTAACATATATGTTAACACGAACATCTCCGAATAGCATTCAAATATATTCTTCACACAGCATAACAGGAGCTTGTCTGGATATTATAATGATAAAGTCATGACTATGGGTGAAGTTCAGAGCGGGCTAACTACTACTGAATGATATCATTGGGTAAAAGATTGTGGAATAGTAACACTGTACGAACCTGTGAATGAGTAGTGTGTGTGTGTGTGTGTGTGTGTGTGTGGACAGCAGATTGACTAACAGCTTGAACTTGGGTTAGATCCAGGATCACGGAGAGAGATACATGGATGGATGGAGAGAGAGGGAGAGGAGGAGGGGGAGAGCCATTGATTTCTCAACAGAGAGATCAGCATCTTGACAGAAAGAGACGAGAGAGTAACAGAGCAAGACACACACACACACACACACACACACACACACACAGATAAAAAGGGATCCCACAGTGTGGCCTTAAGGTGAAATTCTACCACTATTCCATCACTTTCTAGATTTTCAGAGCTGGAGACTACTTTCATGCCCCCAAAACATTCTTCCTTGCGTCCTTGTAGTCTGTTTAAAAAAAATTAAGTTCTAATGCAGATAAGGAAAGTTATAAAATAAATAAATCCATGTGTAATATTCCTTGAATTGAACAGTAAATTTGTTAAGGTCCTTGACTTCCCCTGACTATCTTTCAAAAGTTCCTGATATTGCAGGACCTCTTTCACTGTTGGGAACCCCCGTTGACAGAGATCAACAGGAAAGTCTAGTTCAACGTCTCTCTCCCAGCATGCCTCGGCGATTCTAACAACCCTAGAACCCCCGACAGGGACACGGAGGACGGTGCTGTGGCTTCGTGCCGGTGTGGCTAATGATGTGTGTGTGTGTATGGTTTGTGTGTGTGTGGAGGTCGCAGGCAGCGAGGAGAGCTGACACACACTGGGGGGTGGGGGGCAGCCAAGGGTCATGCTGTAATTACACATCACAGTCCCTGTGGTCAGTGGCCCGACTGACTTCTTCTGACTACACTGCCTCAGCCAAAGAGATGGCAGGTGGGGGGCAGGTGGTGGTGGGAGTGGAGGGTTAGCAAATATTTGCGCTGCACCTGTGGAAAACTTGGAGCTGTAAGGATAGGATTTTAAACTTCTCTTTGAAATTTTATAGTTAAATTACTACTTTACTTCACATTTATTTCTTCATTTTCTGCTTTTAATTAACTGATGCATTGATTCATCTGGCTCTCAGTGGGTGTTGTTTTTCAAAACTACACTCAGAGCATTTGTCAAACCTCTACAGTAACACTGCCTCCATCCTCACCTTAGTTTGCATGTGTTCAAAGTAATGCGAACGGCTGACACTCTCACATACCGCGCGTGGTCCTATGTGGGTGGTAGGTGCCGTAGAGGATGAGTGTAACGCTGAGCAAGGCTCCGGATGCCTCCTCGACATTCGGCCTTGTACAGCTCCTCACTGTGCCTTTGTGGTCAATCACCTGGAAACAAACACATCAGCAAGGTCATTATTTCACCAACAAATAAAACTCTTAATGTGGGAAACTTTCTTTCTGCATCTAATATGCATAAAACATCCAAATCTACTTGTGTAGATGGAATTCATGGGGAGAAAGTGGGGAATTAACACAAAAGACAAGATGTTATTATTTGGTTAATGTAGTCAATGATAACAAAGTCTGTTATAACAAAGGTGTTATGGACCCTCCTAACAAGAAAAAACAATGCTGTTCCTTCAGGAAAGCTTGAGAGCTGTCCTAACCTGTAAAGCAGGGGTCGGTAAATAAGTCTGCCATCGGGCCAAATTATTTTCAAGCCATTAAATGGCGGGCCAGAACATAGTCAAATTATTTCAAACCCAAAGCCTACTCGTGTGCAGTTTTAGCTCAGTCGGTAGAGTGCGGGACTCCTGTTGAGGGGGCTGTATGATTGATCCCAAAACCTAGCTGACTTTTTTTCTCCCTTGTTAAAGAAATTGATTAGCCTATAAGGACATTTTTGCACATGCTCACAATAAAGCATGTGCTGCAGTGTGTGTGCGTGTCCCGGCATTTCCCTGAGCAAATTCAGGGGAATCTAATCACACATTTACTGGCAGCTTTTTCAGAGGTGTGTCAAGCAAGCTAGAGACTTCTTTCGAATGTCCTTCAAAACCTTTCAAAGTAAAAGCTCTCAATAAACTCAACATTGCTGCAAAAAATGTTCTCGTGCTTTTATTTTCATTATTTCATTTAAGAGGAAGTAATTATGTGAGTACCTGTTGCTGTCATGACTGAGATGTATTTCAGCACTAGCCGCTATCAATTTATTTATTTTTTATTTTTCTGCTATCAAAGCAATCTGGCCATGGGCCAGATATTATTGCTGGCCCGCGTGCTGCATATGGCCGACCACTGCTGTAAAGAGTTCTTAGGAAACTGTGGTAAAGCGCTGACACACGCGCACATAACAGAAGTGGAGGGATGTGTAGGAAAACTGACGGCAGTGATTTTAGAAAAACACGGAATACTTCATGACCAGATCAAAATACACACTATTCAATACAATACAATAAAATACAATGCAATATCTTTATTAATGGGTCACTGTGTAAGATTAGTCGATCATAAATTCCTGCGACACAGCAGACGATATTGTACGTTGGACCCTGACCAATGCTGACCTAAAGCAAACTTACATTTGGACTCATTAGAGACCGTTTTATGCTGCAAATACTTTTATGCATGCCATGTTCTTTTCACATTTAAGGTATTGTGCAACTTCTTGGGCACAAGCAGTTTCTGCAACAATCAAGCCTTTTGAAATGTTACATTATTGTGCAATAAAAATGTTGGATAGGAAGCCGTACAATTTCACAGCCACTCTTAAGAAACTACTAAAGTTTTGATCTTTTTAGTAAATTTGCTAACATTAAACTCATGAATAAATACCTAAATAACTAGGCCCCTCAGATGCTCAGTGACGGTACCTCTCAGAGTTTCTGGCTCAGTAACTCGGGTTGCATCTTTGGGGAATTGTAGAGTGCTCTTTTGTAAATGCTCATTTGGATGTCTCCGTCTGCGTCCGTTCAGGGGATCAACATCTGGAGCTTACTTTTCTATGCCCACCTGGGGACAAGCATTGCAAACTACCTTCAGCTATAAATACTGTGTTATGTGGCATTGGTTCATAATATATAATGTATGTATCTGTATGTGTATAAAAATTAAAGTAATAAAACAAACAAACATATCTTAGCTTTGTACACAGGAAATAAGAGAGGAGGTGCCAGGGACTGACAACATCATGTGTTGTTCACTTATATTTACAGTTGTGCATGGAAGAGCTGCTGTTGTCACAGAAGTTGTCAAACTAGGAGAGAGGAGCCAAATTTTTTAACAAAACAGAACATTTTCTGTCAGGACAAAGTGATACTGCATTATTTTTCTTCTACTATGATGCGTCACATGACCATATTTGGATGAGAGGGGGAACCTGGGGAAGGATATGTATTGTTATGCCTCACGGGTTGCCATGGTAGCAACTTGTCAATCACAAAGGCAGCCACACCCTAAAGCACACCCTGCTTTATCGTTTATTTTCCTCTAAATGGGACCATCATTTACTGAATGAACATCATGCTGTATTGAAAAAGACTTTGAATACTATTGATTGAGATCATAAACTCATTAGGAAAGTGTTTACAGGGGTAATAAATCAAGTGAGAGGTAGGGTAATTTTGTCATAGACCTCTATACAATCAGAATTTTTCTTTGCAACCAGTGGAGTCGCCCCCTGCTGGCCATTAGAAAGAATCCACATTGACTTCACTTTTCAGACCCGCAGGTTCCTGCTTGGATAAAACAAGCAACTGTTGTGCCCAATGTGACCTCCTGTGGTTCATATCATGTAGCTGGATCATTGGAGTCACTTGACGTAGACTTGAGTTAGGCTTGTGGCATGAGTAAAAAAAAACAAAACATACTTGTCATTCAACAAGCCCCCCCCAAAATACTCACCTTATTCCAGTGCAGGTCAAAGACAGACCACTCAATTTAAACTCCCTACATTTGCCAGAGCTGCTGCCTGGCCTGCTTGTGTGAGTGTGTGTATTCTATATATATATGTGTGAGTGTGAGTGCTCCCAGCAGACCAGAGGCCAGCCATAGCGGCCCCCAGTTGAGCGCTGCATTGATTTGTTGTTGGTAAACAAACAGCTGGATGCTAAAGGTGGATCGATACGCCTCGCATGCTTCCCAGCATGCCTTTCTACTGGGTCAACATGGCTCTCCATGGCTGTCGCTTGGAAACCTCATGAGTCAAATATTGTGAGTTGTCTGACTGTCTCTAATTGAGCTGAAGTTAATTCTTCACATAACTTTACTCTCCTGACACAAGGGTCCACAAAATCCATAAATACTGGATCATAGTATATAGTATCATTTTATGTAGCAGCAAAATATCATGTTGTCATGTTTAGTGAGGATGTCAGCCATACTCTAGGTGCACTTTATCTTTATATAAATTTGGCACCAGTTGCCAATCAATAACCAAATACGAAGAAGAAACAAGTAGTAGTAGTGTGCTACTGACATGATGTTTAACTACAGTGGAACCAAAAGTGTGAGAGCTACAAGCAGAGACAAAACCAGAGCATAAAGGAAAGAGAAAAAGAGAGACAAAGAAAGTGAAAGGATTAGTAGAAGCAAAGGAACTGAGGGGAGAGGGGAAGGATTTCAAAGCCAGAGAGAGAAACTACAGAGAGAGAAGACAAAAAGAGAGGTGGGGGGATTAGTGATGGGTGAGAGATGGCAGGATATCGAAACGGGTGAGTGTCAGGGAAAGGAAAGTGAAACCAAGAAATAGAGGATGAGTCTAAAAAGAGAAAGTAGTTCAGGAAAACATAGTGATACAGAGAGAGGCAAACAGAGAGGGAAAGACGGGACAAAGATACACGGCAGTTGTACAGGAGACAGGAGGCTGATGTTTGAGACAATACCAATAAAGTTGGTTTCCTGAATCTCGAAAGTGTCTCTCATTTGTGCAAAGTGCTGCACACACTGCTCTGTCTGTCCTGTTCAGCCATGGTGACTTATCATAGTAAGGAAAGCACAGGTGTTACTAATGACAACGATAGCTCTGTTGTAGTAAGCCACAACAGTAAATCAGCATACCAACAGCAGGACCCTGACACGGAAGCAGCTAAATGGAATTCAGCCATCATTATTTCTATCCTGTGCTTTTTGTGTAAAAACTTCTTTCAAGAAAAAGGCCTATGGCTCACTCTAAACATCAGCTTATTCAGCCATCATAGTAAAATCCATAACTTTGTGCTTTCCTGGTTGGGTTCAACTGCATTTTATTAAATATGAAGACAGTATTGAATTTGCTTATCATATCTGATTCCTATCTGTCTATTCAGGTTGAAATTTCCACAATTTTACATCATCTATATAATAAATAATCTAACATTTAAGAACTTTCAAAGAACGAAAACATATATTTGCTATGATAGTTTGCTTAATGACATACCTGACCTGCCTTTGTACATAGCTCTTTGCAAAAAAACCCAACGATTTAAACATATTTGATATGAGAGAAAATGTGTTTACATACCCTAAAAAAAAAAATAAACCATCAAATTTTTTTAATTTTCTGACATTATTTAAACAATTTAATACATTATTACAGTGTAATTAGGTTAATACTGCACATTGTCTTGAACTTTTATTGTAATTAATAAAAATTATTGCAATTTCTACTTTTCAGCTGATATATGTTAACTGATATCTCTGCACTGCAGCTGCCAAAATTGAAATTTTGAGCTGATATTCGATATCTGTACATATTATTGAAACAACAAATCCTTTGTGTTCTCACTAAAATGTCATTTTTGTGAGGGTGGAAAAGCATGTAGGCCATTGCAATCCGTGGTTAAAGGACCAACAATAATAATTACACAAACGTACATGTGTGAAATCGTTTGTTTCGTTTCGTTCATTGTTTAATTAGAACACAGTCCTTCACCTACCAGACTCCTTTATGGCCTGACTATGGGACAATATATACAGAGAACTGTGGTTCCACTGGATGAGTATCAGGGTAAATTGTTCAGCGCACAGTACTCAGTTTACTTTCATGGAATAAACAGAAGCTTCAAATAAAGCCCTAAGAAGGAACCTGTGAGTGTTGGCTGTGCTGGAGCGGGAGGCAGCGTCAGATGGGAGGGGAGGAGGAGTCTTGCTGCGTCTACATATGTAAAGCAGCAGGGAAGCAGCAGTGTGTCAGACTGAGGCGCTGGCCCAACCTGAGCTCCTCGCTGCTCCCTCCAACACATCAATCATCCAAAACAGGGCCATCACGGCCATACTGCATGCTGGGAGACACACACACGCGCACACACTCAGGCAAGCACACGCTGCGGCATGCTTAAACACAAACAACTGAACAAACACACACATGGTTGCATGAACACTAACGTTTAAGTTGCAGACACGCACACACACACACTTCACAGTACACTCTGAGGTGAAACCTACAGATACGTACGATATCACAGTGTGCACACACACGGATGCAACTACACAAAAATGAACACGTAGAGACAAACACATACGCCAGAACACACTGCAAAAGTGCCCATAGCAAATGACACATACAATCCATATACAGTACAAACTATACACATACAGGCACACACAAACAGGAGTGTGCAGACACAGAGTCACACTCTCTCTGCCTCCCAGTCTCACACAAAGCACGCAGACAAACAGAAATAGGTATCCTGTGCCCACAGGGTGCCCTCGCCCCCGACCATCTGTGATGGGTGCCAACACACAGTGGGTGATATTTACATGGAGACCTACTCCCCCTCCATACACACACACACACACACACACACACAAAGGAAAGAAATACCCACAAAGGGCCGCATGGATCGCTTGATCTCCCAAAACTCATTAAACATGCAGATATATGCAAATATATGCACCTCTAGAAATCCACCTTGGGCCAGAGTGAGAGCGTGTGTGTGTTTGTGGCTGCAATTACACATTTGTGAAAATGTGCGTGTGAGTTTGTTTCCACTGTGGCAACTACCAAGTCTTTGGCAGTGTGTCTGCCAAACTCGATTTCGAGCTTGTGTAGTTACTGTATGCGCTGTTACAGTAAAGTGTGGAGATGTTTTTACACTTGTTTAGCAGTGGTGAGTGGTACTTCTCCTTGTTATAAGTAATGCAAAAGTAATAAAATAGGCATTTAGAAATCCAAACTAAAATCACCCCTTTAAAATACCATATTTAGGGCTGAATTCCATTTTCCTTATTTCCAGTCGCTTCAATTTCAGCTTGGATTAGAAACAATGGACAAAGCTTTGTAATGATGTTCCACTTGGAATTAGTAAGTCATGTTACAGCACAAGTGTTGAACATAACGACCAATAAATGATAAAACATGTGTTTACATGGCCCTAAAAGCAGTAAATATGACACAACACAAACATCATCATATCCATCAAGGTGGAAGACACTGACTGGCCAGTATCAATATTTTCTGTTGGCTGCATGCACTGATCGAACTCCATCGTTTGAACATTATCTGCTGGTTACTCCATTATCAGTTTGTCACTGTATGTGTTTGGTTTGTGTAATCTGTTGGTTGAGACAAGATTAGCAGGAGTGACTCCAGGAGAAGCACTGGGGATGATGATGGTAAATATATGATCTGTCAGTCATAGCCAGCAAGGACGGCACTTTGTGTTAGTGTGTTTGTGTGTGTGTACAGCCACAGTGCTGCAGGCTAAATAGTGCCATTATACTCCTACAGCAACACTAGTCACAGTCAGCTTGAGTCTCAAAGTCCTCTGGGAATCAGAGATGTCTCTGCTCAAAGACCGCTGCCACCCTGCTACACACACACACACACACACACTCCCTGTGGACATGGCAGCATGGGGCCAAGTGGGGTAGAAGGGTGAGTGATGTGTGTGTGTTTTTCTGTTTGTGTTTTTCTGTATTTGTGAATGTGAGTATGTTCCTCTCAAAATAGAGCACAATAATGCAGACATGCTGCCAGTCATTGTCATAGATACCAATTAAAAGAGTAATCACTGCATTATTAATCACTGCAGAAGATAATTCTGCTGAAACCTGCTCACAGTGTGTTCTGTGAATTAGACAGAGTAATGTGGACACTGATGCTGAATTTCTCGAAGCAAATTTTTCAATGCAGTTAGCACCCCAAACTAAATCCCATTCACCTCCATTGTTTTGTGAGACAGAGATCTTAAAACCTGGACAAATGCAACTAAAGATATTGGCATGGATAAATACCATCAGAAATGACAAAATGTGCCTTTTTGGAATATGGTGAACTGACCCTTTAAACTAACCCAGTACCAACTATAAATATGGTATACTAGGCTTAACTGTCATATTTACAATGTAACCTCTTAGCACTGCAAGAGGACAGAAATGCTTTAAATAGAGAAGATGAGAGCGAGACGTCCAGACAGAATGTAAGTATGTGTGTTTGTGTATGAGTGTGTGTGTGTGAAAGAGAGAGAGAGAGAGCGAGAGAGGGACGATGAAGAAAGATCAAGGACAAACAGGGTCGAAATAACATCTGATACACTTTTTATCTGCTTATGAGCTATCCTTAATGGTTATCATAGATATTAATGATGATATATAATTCTTTTGAAATGATATGATTAATTGTGCGCTGTTGGCTTTCTGGAATAAGCATATTCTCCATTGTGCAATACTGCCTGAAATATTGTCTCTGATAAACAGTGAAAGCACTGAGTTGAGCTGAGGCATCACAGATGGCGGTAGAGCGAGCACAGGGGAGAGCCGATATGTGAAGACAGAGAGAGAGAGAGCGATTCCAGCCCTGCGGTCTCGTCTCCTTCGCAGCGCTGGAAGGTCAGCCGAGCCTCGAGCCATAGGACTCACTCCCTTTTCACTTCAGTCCCACTTTTATTCCAGCAGCACCACAGCGCTCTTTGACAATTGTCATCATGACAAATCAATATAGACTCTCCACCCCCCACCCCCCCACTCCTGCTGCCCTCTAGTTTCTAAACACTGATCCAGTAGATAGTCCAGTTAAAGTCTCTTCCCAGAGCCTCCATTTTATAGTTCACCCTCCACTCACTCCACACAACCCCTCCTTCTGTCTTTTCTATTAGTCCTGTATGTCCTCTGTCTCTCTATGTATCATTTCAAGATTTAATTGGCATGGCTGCTTCTCAGAGGCTATTTGTATTTTTGTAGCAGCACGAAAAATGTTCAAAACCATCAAATAAAAACATATCTAAAGAGAATTTGTCCCAGCAACCGAGATATGTCAAATTACTGTACTTGCATGGTGATTAAATAGACCTTTTATTGGGACAATTAGTTGACTTAAACTTTGGGTGAACCATGATATTTAATCATCACTGTCTGTAACAGAGATATTTTAATGTATATAATTCAAAAGCCAGTTAGGGTGTGTTGGATATAAGTTTCTGTTCTAGGTGTGTGTGTTTTTTCTCTCCCTCTGTTCCTCCTTGTGTTGACTTCAAGTGTTGTAACACTCCTTTTTTCACTGCCCCGTGTTTGTGATTGTGTGCATATGTGTTTCTCTCCAATCTGAGCTAACGTTGGCATCCAGACTAAAAACAATCAGTGTGTGTGTGTGTGTGTGTGTGTATGTGCTGATTAGCGTTGCGCTAAGGCATGCGGCACGTAAGATTGCGAGCGTTAATTTGTGTTGCGAGCATCACGGCGACTCGCCTCGGCCCTCCGGTAATGAGCAGCGGCGTTGTTATGTGGCTCGGCTTCACGGTGTTTCCTCTCCCGTCTCTGCGACACACTGGGCCTTGGTAATTGGTCACAGAGGGGACAGTAAATCTGCACGAGGACGTGGGAGGGACACAGAGACAGCGAGATAGAGAGAAAGAGTGTGCGTATTTGCAGGAAGAGGTAGGTGATAGAGGACAGGGGGTGGTTGTCTTTCATCTTCATGGCTTTTTCTCTATAAACCTCCAACTGTTTACAAGGACTGATGCCTATTTGCACACACATACACACACATCACCCACCCCCACCACCACATCTACTGCTACCACCCACATGTATATACAGTAAATGACCTCAGCTCGCTACTGTCTGTGAGTATGGATTCTAATCAGACGTTAGCAGTATTGTGTCTGTCAAACCCGGCCAAGGTTACTTAACCTTCCAGTCTTAATTTCCCTTCCATTTTAGCTCCTTCCTCCATATCAAACATCAGCACATCTATGAGAGAGAAAAAAAGAAAAAAAAGAAAAGAGCGCAGGGAGGAAAATGAAGATTGCCATGCTTGGCTGAAACTCGGAGATGAAAGTAGAGGATGATTCACATTGCTATGGCAAAATGAACTGAACCAAGCTGAGCTGAGCTGAGCTGTACTGGGCTGGGCTATTTTTAAACTTCTATACGCCGCAGCTACTGGAAGAGGACAATGTGAAGCGGAGCAAATCATTTCTATATCATGAGAGAAGGTATGTGAAATAGGGTTCCCAGAAAAGTGTGTGAAAATTAGTATATAAGCTTCACCAAGATTTTTTGGAGGGGTATTTTGTAGGCTCGTTGAGTTAGTCATCGCTTGAGAGATGCAGTGGACTTTTGCAGACAAAAATATAAATTCTTCATGGATTCAAAGTTATATCAAAGTTTGAGCTATTCTAATAAAGTTAATAATCTTGGAGGCCATCTCGAATGATTTACAGGCAAAACAACATCGCTGAATTAGTTTTTAGTGTTATTTCTACCTTTTGTAGAACTGAGAGTAACATAAGTGTGAAACAGGCGAAACAAAATCTAATACCTCACTAATAGCTCTGTGAGGCTATACTTGGGCACAGCAGCGCAGTACATGCTAACAATGACAACACTAATATGGTGATGTTTAACAGGTGTAAACTATTTAGCATGTTCACCATCCTAGTTTAGCATGCTAACATTTGCTAATTAGCACTGATTACAAAATGCAACTAAAGTTTAGCTAAGGCGCCGCTAGTGTGGCTAAAAATGGAAAACTACCAGCAAAAAGCTGCACAAGCGATGGCAGCAGTGAAAGTACATTTTCTCTCTCACCTGGAGGGTCCAGAGGCCTCGGGGAAGCTCTCCCCAGCAGTGCACCGTCATCAGGGTCCAGTTTTTCATGCCAGCAGTAGAGGCGTCATTGGGCCGCGTGTCCAACAGCAGCGACAGAGTGCCGGCTGGAGACTCCAGGCTTATGGAGAGGTCACCGCGACACACAGCGCTGATGCTCACCCTCACCTGGTGAGAGACAGGTGGCAAGAAAGAAAAAAAAGAAGGTGTGAACAAGGAGACTGATGGAGGAACAGAGAAATAGTAAAAACAAGAGAGGAAGTGGGTGAGTGTGACAGAACTAACTGAAATAAGGACTGATCTTTCTTTTTCATACTTAAATGTTTAACTTAAAACACAATAGTTTGGCATTTGGGAAATACACTTATTCGTACACTTCTTTCTTGTTGAGAGAAAATCAATATCGCTCTCATGTCTGGATGCTAAATATGAAGTTAGATCCAGCAGCCGCTTAGCTTAGCATAGCATAAAGACTATGAAAGCTAGCCTGGCTCTGTTATATTTGAAAATTCATTTAGAGGTGCTGGTAGGCAGATTTGATTACCTTTAGAGGGAGAGAGCCTGGTTAGATGTTACCCCCCTGTTTCCAACTAGTTGCTTGTGTAGCTTAATATTTAGCGTTCAGATATGAGCATGGTATACATATTTTCATCTTACTCTGTGCAAACATGCAAAAATTCCCAAAAATGTTGAACAATATCTTGAAATGTGAAGCAAGGCCACTTCTATAAAATCTGCTCACAATCAAAAGTGTGGGATTGCTGTGATCGTCATCAATATCTGAGATGATACGTGGATGATTAGGCCAATTGGAGTAATTTTGAAAATACTGCAAGGTAGACAGAGAAGACACAGTAACAAAAATGGCTGAGGGGAATATTAGCTAAATGATTTAAATAAGCACATGCACCCCCCTCTGATTCCCACCCAGTAAACACTCTCCCTGTCCCTGTTCCTCACAAGCAGCACATCTGGTGTGACAATGGCACATCGCAGAGAGAGCCGCCAAGCTGCAAAAAGACTGACAGCCCGCTCCTGTTTACAGAGCGTTACCACGGCAACACGTCCATCAATCACACCTCGCAGCGATGGCCTGACCCACGCTTTCTGCCAGAGAGCAGAACCGCAAAGATGAAGCCTTTTCAATTTACATGCTGACACACTCCCGCTCTCTCTCCTTGCTATTTCACAAGTACACACACACACGCGCGCGCACATAGATAAGACACACAAACGAAAATTTGCACGTACACAGACACGTACATTAGGTATGCCTGCTGACACAAACATAAACACATTTGCATGTATGTGCCTGTACTCACGAAGACACAGTTTTGCCATTTTCTGCAAATGACACAGCCAACTCATTCCACATCACTGTAATGCTGTTTTATCTGTTCTATTCTCAGACAGAACACATGACACAGAAACCCTGAAAACAATTTGTATGAAACGTTAAAGCTTTACTGCTTGCTGGCAGAAGTTAAATTTCAATACACTTCTTCTTGATGTGTGTAATCTCAAGGTCAACAGGAAACAGGGAAATGCTGTAAGAGCCGATTTACAGCAGAACCACAAGTACACAAGAAAAATTTCTATGTATAATGTAGGTGAAAACTGTTCCCAATGATTTAAAGGGAAAGTTCGACAGGGAAAGGGAAAGATCGATGCTGCTCTCACATCTTTCCTTTAAATATGAAACTACAGGCAGGTAGCTTAGCTTAGCATAAAGACTGCAAACCCTGTAAAATCACAGTCAGGAGTTATAAGACTATTTGTTGGCTGGGAGCAGTGACTTCCTTTTATACGGTTTAAACAAACAAGATATAACATGTTAATTAGTGAGCTTTAGAGATGCTGGCAGGTGGATTTTGCTACCTTTGTAGAGAGCCAGGCTAGCTGTTTCCAGTCTTTATGCTAAGCTAAGCTAACCAACTTTAGCTTTATATTTAACAGACAAATAAAATAGTGATATTGATCTTCTCATCTATATCTAGGTAAAACACAAATTAGCATATTTCCCAAAAAGTCTAACTATTTCTTCAAGATCATCTTTGGGTAGATATTTTTCTACATGTTTTTATATAAAAGTTATTCCTGGAAAAAATACAGATTGTCAATATACTGCGTGTTCATGCCAATATACTGCGTGTTCATGCCACCTGAGTGTGTTTTAAAACTGCCCTCTGACCTGAACGTGTTCCAGAGTGTTGATCTCGTTAGTCCTACCACGGCAAGCCTCTGATTGGATGTTCACACTGACAATGCCTCCTGGAGAAAGGATCCTAACCAATGAAATCATTGCATGTCAGTCAGTAGCCGAACACCTTTCTCACATGCTTAATAGAAACTCATACACATGCCTCTTCTCCTATAAATATGTAGACACACACAAAGCAGTGACAGTATGGATGAAGATGAGATGAAGGGAGGCTGTTTTGTTGATGCAGGTAAAGTAATGTAATACAACAAGGAAAACCTTAGAGACAAAAATGACAGTACATAAGCAACAAAAATCAGTGAAAGCAATAAAAATAGAACATCAGCAGCTATGGCGGTTACACAAACATATAGTATGTAGTTGATGACGCAGGAAAATAAAAGCTTTTTTATACCTGGTAGGATGGAGTGTGATTTCTTGCGTGCACTTCCTCTGTGGAGGAACAGTGTTGAAGTGTGCGGCCTGCTGCACCATCAGCCCTGCATCCAACAATCCAAATCCATACCTGAAAGAAGAAGGGAACATGCACACTATTACATACTGTATGTATTTGTGTATATGCGAAGGACAAGCATCCTTAGATCCTCACACACATGTGAACTAGAGGCTTTCACGTGGGCGGCTGAATTATGCTGCTGGAGCAGAGGAAGAGGTAATGGCTACGACATGAGGAGGCAATAAGTCATTGACGAAGATGATGTTGTCCTCTGACACAATCGCTTCCCGCTCTGTCCGGGCTGAGGCTGATGGGTGCTGTTTGTACTGCCTGTAATTGCCTGGAGGATTGATTCTGAACAATGTGCCATCTCATGGACTGTAATCAAGCCTCATTATTCATTCTTTACCACCCCAATCTGGGTGCTGGAGACACAATGGCTGACCCTTAAGCGGCGTCGCTGCCTGGTGACTGTATGACCACTGCCTATCTTACGCTCTGTTCTCCACTTTACCACTCCTACTTCGCCATCTCTTTACATCTCTTTTGAATCATCCGCTCTCATCTTTCCCTCTTTGCCCTCTCCTTTTCACAGCCTGCTATTCAGTGTTCTTTTCCTCTCTAAATTCACCTTCACTCCGCTCCATCAATCCTGACTTTCTTGCATCAGAACTCTCCGCCACTTCAGTGATGCTGAAATTGCAGTCCTCATAAGTCTCTCCTTAATTCTCCCTCAAATCTTTCATTTTCACGCACTCTCTCGCTTTCAGTTCCTTCTTGTTAAAATCACAGCCCTCAGACTGAGTAACAGGGCCGTAACAACCTTCATTCTCCCCAACCCCTCCTCTTGGAAATCCAGAGGGGGTGACAAAGAGCTAATTTCTGCCATTATTACCATACAGACCTTATGCCGTTAATCTGCAATAAATGAAATTCATTATCCTGATGACGGGGTCTCTCGGAGCAGCAGAGAGAGAGAGAGACAGACAGGAGGAGGAGAGAGCTGATCAATAACTCAATCTGCTGCCCTGCATGGGGCTCCATCTCCTCTGTCTCAAAGTGTCAGTGCGTCTGAGGAGGAGAGGCAGGAGCTGTAGCCCACACCGTCCTCGTCCCAACAGCACGCCGTGCGATCAATGGACACAATCTAATCAGCCACTATCACCACCAATGACTTTTAGCATGTAGGGCCCAGCATAATAGCATTAGGCAGACGGGTGTGCGGGGTTGAGGTGCGCTGCTGAAGTTCAAGGTCATTCGCGCGGGGAGTGGGGGGTTTGTGAAAGCTGTGAAAGCTGTGAAGAGTTGGAGCAAAACACAGCCGACAAGAGCTGAATGCAGAAGACTGCTAAGGCATCGATTGACATGGATCCTAGTAATGAATAAGACACCTAAACATATTATTATTTGGCTCAAGTTCCAAATGTGCTTATGCAACATGACGGGAGGAAAAAGTGTTTTTATTTAGTAATCAATGTGTGTTAGAAGTCACCAAAAATGAAGTGATTACAAGGAACTGTAATCTTGAAAGCTCCCTAATACACATTTAAAGATGCATTCACACTAATTTCAGTGTTGCTCTGTTGTAATAACTGATTTTTGGTTTAATATGACTGATACATGTAACATGACACATGAAACAGAGGTTCCATGCCAGAATGGTATGTGTCTTAAACCACTACTGTAGGAAGTCAAAAGAACACCCTAGACTCTCTTAGTGAAAACAGCCCTGCATTAAAACAACACAAGGGTCGTGTTCTTTCACGTAGCAGTAAGACAATGAAATCCAGGAAGGCATGTTTGAGTAACAGATCCATGAGATGGCTTAGCAGATGCGACAAGATTTTACAAACCATGTTGATACTGCTCAGTGGCAGAATCACCAGAAGGCAAACACCAAGAAAAGCCACTTGAGCTATTTAATGTAATGGTGGCCTTAATCACTATCGCATTAAATATATCTGGTTATGCTAATTAGGTCATTAACTAACAATGTTATGCATTAATTAAGTAGTAGTCCTGTGTTACCTCACTTGTCCTTTAACACAAGTGCTATTAATATTAAATCTGTATCTTAAAGCGCTAATCAGTCCTGGTATTTTCCACCATTGTGGTAAATAATGTTCAAGATTCAGTATGAAGATTCTTCTTCTGGAGTTATTGTCTTTTGATGAACATATTAAAACCGAAACTCACACATCAGTGTGACCAAGTATATACTTTAGTTTAATTTCTTGATTTGGCTACCTAAAATGGATAAGTACAATAAAAACACCAGCGATAACAATAGATCACCTAAGATATTTCACTGTGGCGAAAACTGATACCTTGACTACTCATAAAACAGAAGCTGTTGGTGACCGGGGCTTGCCACCCTGCTCCCTTTTAGTGATTAAATATACCCTCCCCACCTTGTACCCCTTAGCGAGAACTGTGGACCTATTAAATCCTACAGCTCCCGCAGATCGATCGGGCCTGCCCCAGCTCTACAGCCATAAACCCACACAGACATATATCTGATAGAGGAAAGCTGCAGGAAACAGGTTTACCCACGATAGAACATGATGAAAATGGCAGATTTTATGTCCCCTGCCATGTCAATGAAACAACGACGCTGAGCTGAGCCGCTTTTCAAGACGACTCTCCGGCCTTTTTCAGTCATCTCATCATCAGTAGCAAGAAACGTAAAAGACCATTTCACCAAATAGAAATGTGCGCAGAACATGATTCATGGGCAGTGGTGGTTTGTGACATTGGTGAGTGGTTTAATCACAGCAGTTGAACATTTAATTTAATTTATGTGATGTAGATTTTTTGAAGTACTGCACAAATGTTTAAGATTAAAATGTCTTTAAGAGGAAAGCCACAGAATGTAATGCGTGTCAAGCAATTAGTCATAAAACACAGTCATCAAATTTTCAACTAGTTCCTTCTCCACCTCCTGCGTGGTCGGAGGGAGGTTGAGCCAAGCCAACTACAGAGTGACAGCCGATCTTCTGTCCACGCAGCACGAAGCATGTTAAAGCCCCCCCCCCCCCCTCGCCTCCACACATATCAAATCTGCGGCCCTCGCATTTTCTCCATCCACTTTCACTTCTCAACGGCAAATGCCCTCACAAACTCTTACTCCCTCCTTCTTTCTATCCATTAGGACGAAGGCCACTCCTCCCCACTTCTCCATGGGGCCTCTTTGTAACTGTCGAGGAAGCCTTTTCACTTTTTGTTCTGCCGGCCTTCCTAGGTCCTTTCTCTGTTGATATTCACACCATCTGCCAGCAGCAGAGGAAGGTGCACACAAACCCTACTAGCACTGAGACATCAAGATCTCCAGAGTCGAGGTCTTCGCCTCGTCTTTGCACGTGGCATTAAAAACACAGTTCTAACAACTGGTGTGCTGCAACCAAAGCATATTTTGCTGCTATACAGAGCCCTAGCTACGGCGGTCTCACCCCTTGTTTGCAATGGTACGTCCTGCTAAGTCCCCCCCCCCAATAGAAGTGGCTGTAAAGAATCACTCAAGCCGCACTAAGCAGCTGCCTGTGAGTTAGGTCATTTTCCCAGGAGCCACAGAGTGGGCATTGGCAGGACCTCAAAAAGAGGGGACACCATCTGTTCAGTGCCTGAAAAGGTTGGTGACACCTTCTGTGGTACCAACAACTTCTAATTAAGTGGCCAGGAATGCAGTAGCAGCTCCAGCGCATGATTGGTGGGCTAGCCTTAGTTATCCTGATGACAACACAGCAGACCCCCAGTCAGTTTCACGCACCTCTCCATCACATCTGGCGATGAGCTAATGAAAAATTAACGAAGAGTGGAAACAATAAACACGTGATGAAGGTGACATGACTCGAGTAGCCTACAAACTCTCTATTTGCTTTCTTTCCCCCATTTTGTAGCACCTAACTGAATGTTTATCAGGAGCATAGAAAACTGCATTAGCCCTATGGTCAGTCCCAGCGTGGTTTGTTTCTGTTATATCATTATGCACTAATTTCATTAACATTAGGATTTAAATGAAATAACAAATAGACTTAACATTCTTCTGATTTCCATCGCTCTTACAGCCAAATCTGCTGCTCGGAAATATTACTAATTAAGCTTATTAAGTAATTAAGAAGAGGTCTTAATTATATCTGCGCCACTGGGACTTGCACGGCTGTAACCATGAAATGCTGTGCCGCGCTGCTCAGATTTGTTGGTTTGGCTGTTATACAATTTCATCCATTCTGTAATGTGTGTTTTTATAGAGAAAAAAAGATTTTGGAATGTATTTTTAGACTGTATTAGGCACATATCTGTCTTGAAATTACAGAGAGAGGAACACTCAGCAGCCTTCAACAGCACAGCTTCAAAATGTCAAGTGAATTACCTTGCAAAGAGTTAAAAGTTAAATGAAATATATTGCAGGGGTGGGGGAGTTGGAACAGGCGTAGACTTGGTCTCAGGAGAATGGGCACCAAACGGCCCTCTTAGTCCCTACAGCCATCAGTCAAAGTAGCAGCCACCCGTCCCCTTCTCTTACACAAGGAGACTTCTCTGGAACCCACAATGATCTATACCTCATGACCTCACTCTCAGTGCCCAACATATTTTGATTTGTAGCTTGAGTGTTCAAAAGAGGATGAAATTCAGCAGAGAGCTTTTGTTGGACGCACACCAAGGTACAGTCCTTTTAGATGTCTCTGCCCTTGTGGGGAAAGAGAGAGAGAGACAGAAGGAGAGAGGGGGAAAGAGGATTGAGCAAGTGCTGCACTACAAGCTTGGCATAAGATTCCCGAGTGCTTTTCTTTCACTCCGGACAAAGCAAACACCAAACAGGGAGCCTTTGTTTGCCTCTTCAAAGGGAAGGGTTTTTGATGCCATATCACTAAATATGACAGAGCAAACAGAAATGTAACGATCAAACACAAAGTCTGTTTTTTTCGTGTTTATTGAAAGGTATGACATCGGCTACACAATTTCATCATGGGAGCCAAATAGAGTTCAAAAGTTCTGTATTCCACATGCAATATCAAAGAATATAAGATGATTATGCCTGTAGTTAACAGGTTAGTGAGTATAATGCAAAA